TAGAAGATTATCAACTGCTTTATAAATAATATGGGTAAAGGTCTTCAATGCAAATCCTCTCTATAATTAACTGACAACGGGGCGAAATCTTGAAAAAAAGAAGACGCCAACGAAGGATTTAAGCTCAAATGCTGTGAAGAATAATTGCCAAAGAACATTGAGATTTGGTTAGAAACTGTGATCAAAGTTTTCAGTGCAAACTCTTGACTACAATAAAAGGTGGATGAAATACCACTAGCTGGAATTTTATTCCCAATACTCAGACAGACGATTGTCAAGCAACATAACATTGAAAACGTGAATCTACCATATTTCTACTATCGTTTCTATTATTACCGTTGTCAACACCGATGTTGGGTGCCGCCGAAGTAGTAATAAACGCTATTACTCTTGTTATAACCAGAACAACGTAACTGAATTGCGTGTGTAGTTAAACGAATCAAATAATCACGTAGGTGGAGGACAAATGCTAAACTTTTTATAAATAATTATTGAACAAAATAACATAGTTCTTTTTCCAAACGTATTGTAACAATCAATTCTTTAGACGCTAAATTTCTCCTGATGCGAACGTTAAATAGCGAAAAATGAATGAGTGCTCGACGAGGATCTTACGCAAATTTGACAAAATTCCTTAACATCGACCTACGGTACGCTAAATAGAATAACAGAGTGGTTTGAAAGTTTTATTGGATATTGTTTGAAATAAGTAATCATGTTAAGTTATTGGTAATCCTATTTAGAGCAGCATAAGAATCGCAGATTAGGTTGAAGAGCGGAAAACTATCGCATGCAGATCTGGAAAGACTCTTCGACGTTCATCAGATTAGAATCCATCGCAATCTGCCCAGAACCTCCTGTTGAAAGTCTTAGAGTGGTCAAGTGGCCGGGAAGGCAGAATCGATTCGGATATAGGCCGGTGCGCCTACGGTGCGCTGGGAAGCAAACAGTCTTCTGTTGACTCTAGACTGACAACTGAAATTCTTCGAACTCTTTACCTCGTCCTGAAGATCTCTTATCTCCACAAACCCAACCGACTAATTAATAAGTGGACAAAGTGGAATGGAGAAAAAGAGAAGGGAGGAAAACAATATGCTTTTGTTCTTAGGAAAACCATCTGTGAATTTGTTGTGAACAGGTCTGATCATTCTAGATTTCTCAAAACGATCTCTCAGTAAAGACATGATGTCATTAATCTCTCATTTGTAATCATATGGAATACAACAGCGAAGAGACTTAAAGGAGAGAACGAAGACCATCGTACGATCAAGATGAGGCTCCTTGCTCCTAACACTTTATTATTTCATGGCAAACGGTAGTTATGAGTAGACCGCTGGCTCCACTCTGACACAGGTTTACACCTATGCTGGTGGATTCGGATCTCTCCATTTTACTGCTACTCTTGGTTATTTTCGTTTATAAGAGCCAGTGACATTTAGCATCACCTTTTATTTATTGTAAAACTACGAATGATATCAGAGAGAATGCGTCAAAATGATCGTTTTTGCCTAGGAAACTTTTTAAACAAACAGGTCATCTAGTTAAGCATAGGCCACTAGGTGTTCTCGTTTTTTCAAGTATTGGAAATTACTTGCAAAATGTCAAAAGTCCTCTCGCAACCACATATACTACTGGTGTCTTCTATAAGGTCCAAGATTGTTTCTAGTTCTGCTATCCTTAAATCCCTGAAGATCAAGTCAGTTAGCAACGTAGTAATCTCAGTAAATCTCACTTCAAATTAATCTGTTTGCTACCAGGACTGTTATAGCAACCAGTAAAGTGAAACACATGTGTAAGAATTCTGAACTAGGACGAAAGAAAGAGGATTTGTAGTCGAGACAGCGTTACGTGATAACCTTCAGTTTCCTCATGAAACATCGCGTTGTTAGTGAATTTTCAGTTGGAGGCGACAATGTTGACAAGAGATAATGCAAACCTATAAGATGACCCATGTAAGCAGTATTCAACAGGAAGATCAACAATTATCACCGAACTAATGGATCGTCGCATGAGAAGAGTATGCGAGGCTGTTAGAAACATCTTCGCTACCGATCCCATATTCTTGAACGGAATGCTCAAACTGCACTTGGATATCGAAGAAGAATTGTTTTCGATAGTTGGTTTATGCTTAGATGTTGTTGTGATGCACATTTATTCATCGACAACTGAGCAGGACACAATGTCGATGAGATTTGCACAAAGACTCTAGCAGAATAGGTAAATGAAACTGGAACAGGAAAAAAACTTCAATGAAGGGAACCTTTTTGTTCTGGCCTACGATAAAACCTTGCTCATAGTGGAAAACAATAATCAATTGATATTAAGAAATACCACGTTCTAACATGAGGTGGATCTGATCATAGAAAGATTCGTAACAAATCACTTCATCCTCTAACCATCATCTCAACGTCATCCTGATGGAATCCTAGCCCAGCTCCGAACCTGCGATTACTCCTACTGAGGGATCCCCACCTTGCTAAAAGAAGAAATAACAGGCAGTAAATAAAATTTTAAACATTGTGGTCTTCAATACAGCCTCAACTTAACTGGGTTCGATGCCCGTTTGTGCTCCTCAGTTTATGTACATGTACATAGTGTTTATGAATGTACATAGTGTGGCAAAAAAAAGTCCCGTAACCTAGTTAACTTGAAATGGACAATATACGTCAAAGTCGTAAGATTATTTTCCCAAAGTCTATACTCGTGTCCGAATTTTTTACAATCTGGCTCATCCCTTCGAACTATGACTATGCGAATGAGAAAATTGCAATTAGGCGATCTTACAAAGAAAAACGGTGTAAAATGACAATAGCTACTTATACTTCCATTAAAACAACTTGCATGGGAGGAAAGCGAAAAATCGTCAAGTTAGTTCAGAACACCCTGCATTATTCTAAAAAAGAGAGAAGCATTAACGTTTTGGACATTGTCACATAATTTCTTATAAGTGAAGCAGTGATCGCTCTTTAACCAAAGCCTTTAAGCATTTAACTTCTCCTTGGGCTATATCTTTCGTATGGTTTAATGTTATCGTGGGTCGGGATGTTCATGAGTGTCAAGAAGTGCCTTCACGAAGGTCAACTGGTATTCCTTCATCACCATGATCATCCAAGATGAGAGGTTTGAAACTTCTGTGGAACAACACAGCGATTTTTTCTCAAGAGTGAACGTAGACTAGGAGTCGTTACAATGTCACTGCAAAACGATAACCTGGTTGGAATAAGGTAAACAACTTCTTCTGATGTACAAAAGTGTAACAGCCCTAAATGACGATATGGGAAAGTCTAGACAAACCTTTCCCGCAACCTCTAGGAAGAAATCCTGGCAACCAAGCAATCTATCAGACTGACAGAGAGTATGCTGGGAACCGCCGAATTTCCGCCTACTCAGTCAGCCATTCTACAAATTCTAGCAACTAATTAAGGTTCAGAAAACTATCAGCACATCTTAGGCTAAATGTATCAGTGAAAGTACCCTGTACCAAATGTTCGCACCATATCCTTTCAAAATCAAAGATCTTCTCAAAAGATTAATGTTGAACAAATGAAAACAACATGTGACATTTCTTTCCATAGAATGACAGCTGAAGCCATAGACATACAAATTATTCGCAATTAGAAATTGGAGAAAAAAAATTAAAAAAAGTAATCAGGGGCCAATAATAATTGGAAATTCCACTATGCAACGCGCTAAGTGGAATTGCATAGTCGTCTTCGACCGGCCGGTCGAAAATCATAGGAATCACAACCGCCCTAGAGGAATCACAGTTCCAAGCTAGAAAACCTCCCTCCTATTTAGAACAATCGGCTGCTACTTGTGCTGAAGACCTTTGGGACGAACACCTTAACATAGATACCTCGATATATAATGTGAAACTATGTGTGTGCTAGAGTCTTTATGGTAACTGAGGAGGGCTACCTAAGTGTTAAGTATATGTGGAGCAGAAGGTATCACTAGATTCACGCTAAATAAGCATTTATTGTTAACGTTTTGATAACGAGTACGACAAGATGAAGCGCTTAATCATTGATATCAACTACAAACAACAACGATTCTTGTAATGTCGGTATCGAGAAAAAACGAATTATTTGTGCACCAACTTACTACTCTACAGTGTTTGAGCATGCTCTATCTCTTCGTGAAACTTCCTATTCACAAACCGTTGTACCTGTGGCAATTTTCTCACTCCCCTGGAAAAATAGTTCCTAATACATTGAGCAAAAGAATCCTTCTGACTTCAATTCTTTATATTTAGTAAATCAAACAATTCCCATTACATGACAACTTTATTTCCTTCCGTAATTCATTGGTTTCAAATACGGTAGCTAACAAAAACATAGTTTAGTGATGGTCGTAAGTAATGAAATTTCCTTTAGAAAAGGAAAACAAACAAAAAGTGTAGGGGCGAGTATTCTGAAAATACCCAGCAATAATCTTACACACTGAAAACTAACTCCTCAGTGAAACTGGAGTTATTCGTAAACATTCTCTGAGTATATAATATAGACGAAGAATGCACTACATTGAGCGATATCCTCATGGAGAACTGTACACATTCTTATTGCTCCAAAAGTAACATGATAACACAATGGCTGCTAAGATGACGAAGAAATAAAGGCAGTGTGAATAAAAATAAATGCAACGCACGGACATGTATACTATTGCGAGAAGGCATGATGAGGAACGGGCAAGAACACCACCAGACAAACACGAGCGGTCATGAAGATGATCTAGAAGCTAATCGACAATTAGTGAGCCTCATGGGAAACAGATACAGTTTCTCGCTGCGAGAGTAGAGTTTTTTGGAATAGATCCAGGCATAAAACATGACACAACGTTGAAGATAGGAACATGGTATACATATTGTGACTTCAAGAGAATCAGTGGGAGCTGACAGTGAGCTCATCTGGACGAGGTGCAACTTAGAAAAACGACTGCTTTGAGCTACCTCCTGTGTGTGAATTACATCACCTCGTTTCAATACAATATCACTGAAGCGTTCAACGTCCATACGTCATGTATCCGTAATATCCGTTGCTGTATTGTCCTCCGTAGCCGTATGGATAGTTACCGTAACCTGAACAAAGTATAATACCATGGTTACCTATGCATGAAGTTCACACTCACATACTAATTTCTTAAATGCAGTTACTATATTAACTTATAATGGAGACATATGCTGAACAACAGGGGATATAACATGACTTCGTCATCTGTATTACTCTTGGTACTTGCATGACTGAATATTGCGATTTCAAGAATTTCATTTTCCTAATTTCTCGTGTTGTCATATGGAACAGAACATTCTTCTTATCGATGTTTCCTACACGTTTCTTCTGTCTCACTTAAATGGCAATGTTCAGTAGGTTCTCAACTTACCACCATAAGTGTTGTAACCGTATGGAACCATTGCTCCTTTGTCATAGTAGTTGTTCATCATGTACACACCATGCTTGGCCGACAGCGCTTTCTCCTCTTCCTTCTGCAGAAAACAGAACATAACAATTCTTTTATTAACATTGCTCAGATATTCATAAAATATAAAATATAAAAAAAAATATAAAAAATATATATAAAATATTGCTCAGAAGAGAAGGTAAAATTGATCATAACGCTTTTAAAATTGTTGAAACATTTTTCACTCACAGATTTAAGCTTCTTCTATTATAAAAATAATAAACATCATCTGCCTGCCGATAAATGAATAGAGATTAGGTAAGTAGCATCCGTTCTTTTTTCAGAACTACTTCTGATAGCATATAATTTTATCTTCTCAAAAATACGGTCTAGAGCTGGAGAGACTACCCATGTCTCATACACCGATTTCCGCTAGCAAAGATAGCTTAAAGTGAATTGTAAAAAACCAGCTCAGCTAAACATTTCCTCTTAAGCACCTAGGTGTTTCTAGAAGTGATTTAGAACATACGATATACATAACAATAAAGCCATAAGATGAATGAGTAATAAGAGTGCTTAGAATTTCAGAATAGTTTCTCACAAACAATCCAGATTCAGAGCTCAAAAACATAAAAGAAGGATGGATGTTATAACCGTGCAAAAAACATTTTACAGCCTTTTCTAATATGACAGCAAGCGACCAAAATGAAGAGCGTCAGCATTCGCTTTAGTAGTGCTTTTAATTGTTCTGGTCGTAAATGATGCCGAGAGAATTGTGGCGCAACCGTCCCATGTTTGTTGTTGTTGTTGTCCAATCGCATAACTCTAATGGTCATGACGTCCACACAAGGCACTCACATCCCCGATTCGCTTTTGCTCATGTATCGTATACGCAAACAGAACATCGACTATCATATTTGCATTGGTAGTGGTTGAATCGCGTTTGTTCCGATCAGACTACAAGGTTGCTTTGCCTCCTTCACTGATTTCCCACGAGCGACGCCAAACACCAGATCGCCAACACAGCGAACATTACATGTACACCACTGAATCCATATCATACACTAACATCCACGTCCAAATGAATCTTGTCCGTGAAAATGTGTACAGTTTTCGCAAACAAATAGTGATATGGACAACATAAAACGTACATGACATATTCGAGATTGAACAATGCGACTTCATTATAATGCACAGTTCCTAATCACTTGACGTCAACAATTATGTGTTCTATCAGTTGTTTTTTATAGACTGAACGAACAAATGATATTTCAATGAAGAAAACAGATCGCAATCAATGCTTTTTCAAAGACAATACACTTAACGATTATATCACCATTGATAGGTTTCTAGTATGAATCCATTGTTAATGGAAAAGGTAAATCACAGATAGGATATATGACATATATATATATACATATATATATATATATATATCCCCCTCAATCCCTGAGGGATGCGCCCTGCATTCGTTATTCGCTTTTCATTAAACATCTTTTGGGCTGATTGAATGCATATTTGGTGTTTACTAATGACTCGCAGTGGCCTACTGATGTATTGAGCCAGTACTGATATCCTCCCCGACAAAGTCTGGTACCAATTTGCCGACCCCGGAGAGATGGAAGGCTTGGTGCACCATGGGAGCGGGGATCGATTCCACGTATGTGTTGCACGGCGCCTCAGACCACTGGGCCACACGCGCCTCTGTTTATACTACATAGACAAAAATAATTCAAATTCCTATTCTTTCGAATAGACAATGACCCTGGAAACAGCGCCCTTTTCTGCAAAATACTCCACTCAGACTCACTGTTGCAATTAAGCATAGTTCAAGTAGTACAAATTTAGTTACTCCTAATGTCATATCATGTTTAGGTGTGTACATCTGTTTCCCGACGCAAAAGGTGTGAAAAAAGAAAATTTCATTTCGGCCATTTCATTAAGATAAAACACATAATCATGTTAGCGTCTCTGAGTCGGACAGTGTCAAACGGGCAACTGTAGTAAGCTGTAAAGACAACTGAAGAGACAAATCAATGAATGTCAATCAAATCTATTTGAAATAAACTAATCCTTGCAGAAATTGTTAGCAGGTGAAAAAGGCGAAGTAGCCACAAATGTGTGGGAAAACGAAGCTTCATTTTAATGTTCGATACTGTCTTAAATATGATACAGTGATATAAATAATAAAAAATGGACCACTCAATATGATTTGTTATTTGATTATTCGAGTAAGGAATGCAGGTTTTGTACATAAATAGGATAAAATTCGTCCGCCTTGTGAAAGATGAACCTTTGTAACCTCTAAGTTGTCTGCATGAAATCGTAGTTGAATAAGGAACGATGAACCCTATCGAGTACATCCGGTACAAGTTCTATTCTATCCAAATCAAAAGGAGACATTAACCATCCCAGATAAACAAACTGTTACAATGCTTGCACAGTGAGTGTGAAACTACGAACTCGAGCATTTTTAAGAAAATTCAATGCTTTACACACATTAAATTGTTATTAACTAAAAGACGACCAATGAAAACAAGAAGCATGTAGATAGTTCTCAACTTTCCCCTCTGTTAAACATCGAAATTTTCATTCCTGCTTAGATTCGATTTATCTTTGATACTAATGAATGCACCTCTCAACGGTTTACCGCCTCATCAAATCTAGGAGGTGCTCCAAAGTGTCGGGCTGCGATGTACAGCGGAAGATCCGCCTCTTTGCAGAGCCTCCCAAGCCGAGAAGGAGTCCGGCGTTTCCATCAGAAAACCCAGTCAAGAATAAACCAATACCAAGATCGAACACTGTCCTGGTATCAAACAAGTCGCGTAGTGGCAAATCTCCCTCTTAACCACAAGGGCGGCGATTGCCTGTGTGGCGATGACTTGGGGAAACTTTGGTTAAGTTCACCTCGGAACTCCAGGGAACCAAATGGCTAAACCAGCAAAACTCCAAAAAAGTGGAAATTCTGCTGAGGCCGGCACAACCAGTGAGGACGGGCCATGCAAGTATCCAAGTAATAATAGATACAAAGAAGGTTAAACGAGTTAGTTAAATCAGTGAGGAATAATGTTGATCAATGCTTTTATAATGATCGGCACCAGCCAATGTAAACAGTAAACCAGTTATTCAACGATGTCCGTGGTTCCCTAAAATGCGCACAATGTCTTGGGAACATGAGCCGTAGCAGCAATCCAACCTTAAGATGACTCACAAAATCATAACGGTAATCGACAGAGTGATGCGATACTATGATAAAGTCGTATGGCGACATGACACTACCTGCTATTTCAGAAAACCAGACACTCATAACATTAGTCACAACGATGAGTTGTAAACAGAAATGTGTAATTCTTTTGCCAATGTCGGTTGAATTAACAGTCTTGGCCATAATCGCATCAGTGTCATCATCAGAGATAAGCCTGGTCGACCCTGACTTAGTCGGGTCAAGGAAGTCGCGCAGCGACGCGATAGCATCACATCACTGCGTGATTGCGGGCCGGCAGCCAAGCGACACACTCTGCGGTGTATGCACGTATGTACGAACGTTATGACATCACATCCGAGATTATCGAAATCTTTCCATAAGCGGAAAACCAGCATCACTAAATTCAAAAGGTAGACGTAGATCCTTTCTAAACGCCATTTTCCGAGGAATACTTTCGAACCCCGAAGAACAAGATATTAGGACAAATACAGGACTACTTCGCAAGACATAGTCGATAACAAGTCGAAAGAAACGCACATGGACAGCTCGTAAACGCAGTACACTTTGACAATGAACAAATATAGCATTAATTTCGTTCTATATTTTCTCCAAGACTGCATTAAGGCGAATTTTATCTCGAAGAGAAACAACAAACTTAAATATCAGAAATATGAAATTCATAAGCCTTTACAATCCTCAAGCTATCACTTCTAAAGTCTAATAATCTCCTTAAACGCTCTTTTCTTTACCCGCGCACTTTTACGCTATACGGATTATTATGGATGGCCACAAATTAGTTCCACTGTTATTCAAAGCCTAACAGCATGACAACATAATATGTGGAAGAATTACGACCAATGACATGTATTTTTTAATATAAGTTTAAGAGAAGTAACTTACAAAGTACTTCAGGGTACTTCTTACCTTTAATCGACTAGCTGAACAAATGAAGAACACCGAAGCAAAGAGAATGAAAAGTATGCCGACCCATGCCACGACCAGTGACCATCCGAAATTGAAACGAGTTGTGGATTTAAGAATCTGTAGTAAAACTGAGGTCAAAAAGACTACTATAGGGAAGTATTAGAATGTCAAAAACGAACTAACACCAACTGCTATAAAGGAATAATAATAGGGTCCTAGCAAAGCAGGTTTATACGCAGAAAAAAAAACAAATACAGGTAATAAGCAATGAAGAAGTTCTATGCAAAGGTATTATTGTCCTCGAAAAGTGACCTTGAATGCTCTCTTCAGGAACCTGAATTAGAGACGAAGGTACATGTGTGATCCCGTCAATTTCTCCTCTTATAGCTTGGCTTTCAAGTAACAGCATCAGAGCAAGTTATGGATGTTTTATAGCCAATCGCAGAAATACTACATCATGGCAAGATAAAGGGAAACGCCTACTCTTTGTTATACGAAATTCAGCATTCCTCAATTATTGATACAAGTATTAAAGTAGTTTCCACCAGAAAGCCCAGCTAAGAGTAAACTAATGCCAGGATCCACTACCGTCCTGGTATCAAACTAGTCGCATGGTGGCAAATCTCCCTCTGATCCACAAAGCCGGTGGTTGTCCGTGGTACTGACGACCTGGGTCGGGTCTTAGGTAAACTGACCTCGGGACACCAGGAAACCACCATGGATAAACCAGCAAAACTCCGAAGAATGGAGATTATGCTGAGGCTCGCACAACCAGTGAGCACGAGCCATTCAAATACACAAGCACTATTAACGTTTGAACCAACTACCAGATGGTGTGATATTAATAAAGTGTTTTCCGAAAAATGGCAAAGCGGTAAAAGTACATGAGTCTGAGTTCTAAAGGTATAGTTGACGCCAGACAAATTACGTGTTTTCGGGTTTGATGAATACCAGAATCGCTCAAAAAATCACTGATAGCAAAAATATTCCTAAAGAGTAAAATAAGCGCAAGTGAGACGATAACCATCATAGTAGCATTGCGTACATCTTACCACGGAACATATTTTTCTTGCCAAGTTTGCTCTCGAAACTAGTCATATTCTTATGTTCGCATCTCATCAAGTGTTCCTTCCCGTTCTATACTCCGCCGTGTTCATTGTCGTCCCGTTGAGGACAATACCGGTTTTGTCCTCGTCTAACGCGTATCCATCAGGAAAAAGGCGCTCGCATTTCCACTACACGTCTCGACTTCTCTTCATCTCGTCTCAATCTCGATGACGGACAACTGGTGAAACGACAAAACAACGGATTTCCCGTTAAAAATAAAAACCTCATATATCACCAATACGTGCCGGAATTGTTCAAATTGCTATAACGCTATTAGCAACTGTTTCGTATATAATGTCACAATTCCTTACTGGCTCCCATGACTTATAGAACGGTGGCATTTCGAGTACGGCTCGTTCGAGATAGTTAACATAGTGCCAGCAAGCCATGGATACCGCGAACAACAGAACTAAAAAGGAATTAGAAGAAAGCTTTGCATCAAGCATCCATACCCTACTACATTTGAGTTAGAATTGCTTGAATTCGATGTTCTTGGTCAAAAATTCTCGTTACAAATAGTACTGTACATAACTTTCCTAAATGCACTATCCCAGTTGAGCAAGAGTCAAACAAACAGTCAGACAGGTCTAAGAAACTAATAAGGCCAAGTGTAGTGAGAAAAATGCAGTAAAAACACACCGGTGAGAAGAAGACCCACTCCGGTGAACATAAATGCCTTTCGAGATTGTCGAGCACATCCTATACCGGCGATTGCCAAACAAACAACAACAACACCGAGACCTAGAAATGCTCGAAAATATCACTGATGTAGATATCCACTCTACTGTTAGCTAGTTATGCGAAGTCTAGTTCGTATGTAGTGAAACAGACAAAAAGGAGAAGAAAAGCAAATCACTGACAAGTTAGGATTTTTTGAAAAGTAAAATGAGGTTATCAGCCTTGTGAATACTTTAAATATAGTAGATTGGAGGATTTTGTAGGCATTATAGTCTCGAATTCTCCTTAGAAGAAGTACTACGTGATCGTAAGAATAGCGATTCGGCACTCCAAAACCACAATTACGCCAGCAGCACAAAACGAGCATGGAATGACGTCAAACGAATTTTAGCACGGATCAGAACGAACGCCACATCGACGAATCCAACGACCAGCATTTAAAATCACAACTTGATGACTAATGAAAAGAACGACATCTTACCAAGAACGTACGTGACTACATTAGCTCGCATAAAGTACAAGCGCTGATTTTGTTGAGAAGAATAGTTCTCTTGAAGAGACTCAACTGGGAAGTAGTCGGTGTTGTCAATGCATGGAGATCCGTATTTCGAAAAGCTGCCGATATCTGAAAAAAAGGTCGTACCAAGCGTATAGGAAAAGAGAGTGTGCAAAGAAGAATGCACGAACTGACTATAAACGTTTATTGCTAGAGGTGAAATAATGAAAAATCTCAATACCAAACAACAGCAACAAATCCACTTACCAGATGGTACGGAATCCGGAAAACAAATTTGAAATAGTCCGTAATTTCGCGAAAAATAGTTGACGTTACGGACAAATGCATCTTTTAGGCGTACGTTCAATTCGGGTTCTCGGTTGAACGCGTTGATCACCTCCCGCCGGTTTACCTAGACAAAGATATGCGCAATAGGTTAAAGAGACATTTATCCTGTAAAAACTTCTCCTGCTTGACTAATTGGAGTTTAAAGAATAGTTAGCAATAAGGACTCTCCGAGTGAAGCTTCTGATTGTTCGACATTTCTCACTTCTCGTGCAACGTGTACGCCCTAACAAGGCATTATGGTCTTTTTTTCTGGTTTGGGATGGCCAAGGAAGATTTCCTTGTGATGGTTAGAAAGATCAACTAGGCTAATGCTCAATGTTAGTGTTGCATAACCTGCGAAGGTTACAAATGGTAAAGTGATTTACCGCGTTTACGCAACTCTGCTGAGAATCTAACACGACCGGATCGAGCGCCGCGTTTTTATGGCAGATATTAATTACAGTAAGCGCTTCAACGAAGCGCACTTGAACCAAACACATCCTATCCGATCCATGAAACGAACGAACACATGAGTGCCAAGTCGATTGAAATGACTCTCACCATCTCGATATTGCGCTACCGTGATGGAATCGATCTGGTTAGCATCACGGACACATCTTATTTCTCGGACCCTTCTTCTGTATTGCAACCGACCTCGGTCATTCTGGGCTGTCTTGCTGGTCCCACCTTATTTGATCGATCGAGGTCGGCGAATCGATCCGTGAGAGCGAGTAATGTCAAGGTGCGCGGGGCCGTCTAGCCAACCACCGTCGGCCCACCAAGCGACGCGTGACTACTCAAGAACGTCCAGTACAACGCAGTACTATGCGCAGAGTTACTCCCACCAGGAACAGTCGACGACGCCACCGTCGTCCCGTCTTCCCCTAGCGCTGACCTCTTACAGGTGGTACCGTGACAGCAGAACAAGATGGACGGAAGCGCCAGTGATCAGTACCAACCCACGCATAACATCATTATCCATTCTACAATCGTACAAAAAAAATTATCCCATAAAATATCGAAGTAGCAGTCGTATGTGTCTTCAGGAAATTACTATGAAGAAACGAAGAAGAAAGCAATAAGTGTTCTCATATAATCTTCTCATGAAAATTTCATCGTCACATCATTTTCTCTTGCCAAGCACCGGCTCCACTCAAATGCAGCAATGATGATTGTACAAAATGGTCTCGGGATAAACCTACATGCGAAACTCGAACGCACAGTGCACGAGTAACGATGAAGTGAGAAATCGCCTGACGAACAGTGGGCGAAAAACATGCTTACTAGCTGGAGATGGTAACTTGGTTTTTAGACGAGAAAAACCAAGGATAAACGCTCAACACCAATTTGAACAGAAAGAGAAAACGGATCGTGATGAAACGTTTGAAAGCGTAGGCGATGCTCCAAAGATCATCTTTTTTCCCCTTGAAAAAAACGCTACTTCAAAAGCTATAGTTCAACGCGCAAGAGAGCAGCATGAGACCACTTGAAAGAACCAAAGCATACACAGAAAAAATGGTCAAAAGACAGGACTGTCTCTACTCTCTCTACCTGGTATTCTGTCCAGTTATCAGTAAGTGCTGCTGCAAGTACGAGTACTAGACCGATGATTCCGAAGACACTGGATAAGGAGAGAAGGATCGTCGACGACCACATGTTCGAGGCAGCGCCGCGCAGCACTGGTCGAGCCCAATGACCACGCCTCCCCTGCAAGGTGGTGAGCGCGGCGATCGTAGGTGTGGGAAGAGGTCGACCGGAATCCACGACGAACTCAGGCCACTCTTGGATCAGCGGCCACGGTGCGCAACTTTGGATTTCGATGAAAAACGCTGGCATTGCCGGCAACATAGTTCATCATAGTAAAGATGGCAAAGTGATCTTCCTCCACGGATCTTCTACATGTTACGCTTTGTACGGTCATTGACATAAATTCGGTCTGGTCATTCATAAGAAGAACGAAATGTTACTAGAGTAGTTACGTCGAACACGCTTAATAAGGAAACCAATGAAAACTAATGAGAAGTGCAACCGTATGAGGCAAGAAGTAAAGGATTGTGTCACGAAAAACAGTAGCAATTAAAATACGAGGATAAACGGAAAACAATGGGAAATAAACTGTAACTGGGACACTTCAATAACAATCATTTCCCAAATTGCTGCCATCTTTATGCATGTTCTTCTCGCAATTCATAACCTCTTGCTATCGCAACTCTTCATGATATGAAACTGTTTGTTTTATGGTATACAAGTAAACACTTTAGGAAATCTCATTTAGAACTTATTACCTCTGTTTCATTGATAAGGTTGTATTTACCAGCTAATTCCTTCAAATCCAGAATATTACCTTGTTTTCTTAACTGCAGTGTCAATTATTACACTTCTATAGGCACGTATGCGATGGTTGCATTACACAGTATCCTTGTGTTCCGATACATTCCCAGTCATTTCCATTAGGAATAGTTCTTACCTTACAGACGGTCGTCCCCTATTGAGCTGAGCACGTTTCGGGTGAAATATATTCCCTATTCACTACAGTGTTGTACTCTAGCTGCTTCATGAATAACATATCAGTCAGAACACTATGACTTGAAGCATATTTCTTTGAAAACCATGAGTTGTTATTTTGTACGACTTATTTAAAGGGATTATTGCAAACTAATGCACTATCAATAACAGTCGATCATCAATACTCATTTTTAATCGCCTCAAGCATCCTTATGTGTCAGAATTGTAGTTCCGCTAGCTATGGAGGCAGGACAGGCTCCAAGTTTTTATATGAAGCTCTTTATTTTCACCATTCATGGCGAGAAAATAGTAACAGCCGGCCCTCCGTGATCACCATACGTTGTGAGCTTTTCTGATCGAATTCGTTCCATACCTGAATTCACTGAGGAATTAAACGGGAATTTCCATCTGTATAATAATTTTAATCAGTACCACGACCCTTTTAAGATGGGTGCTTGAGCGGTAGTGATGTCCGTCATCCCGAGCATGGTGCTAGTTCAATTCCACTTCGAGCCAGCCAAGCCTCTCATTCCACCGGGGTCGGGGAATTGCTACCGGACTCGCCTAGGAAAAAAATCACTCTACAATACAATTGGAAACGCTCCAGCATGGTTATCTCAGGACTTCAGGGAGAACTGCTCGACCGGAATTCTACGACATTCACGATTAAACGAAAATCCTCAAGCAGCAACCAAAGCCACAAGTAAAAACTTGGAAGACCTTCGTTGACGATGGATACGAGGAAACGAATAGGATGTGAGAAGTGTTAGGGTCCACATAGTTGACGTGAAGACGGGTTAAATAAAATAAAAACCACGATCCACCACCGTCCTGGTATTAAACTAGTCGCATGGTGGCAAATCTCGCTCTGATCCACAAGGGCGGCGAATGGCTGTGATGGTGACGACCTGGGGCAGACTTTGGCTTAGCTGATCTCGGGACTCCAAGGAAAAACAATGGTTAAACCTGTAAAACTCCGAAAAAATGGAAGTTACGCTGGGGCACGCACAACCAAGGAAGATGGGCGATCCAAGTATGCAAATATCTAAGTATAATAATTGTAAAGATGTTATCCAATAAAGAGATGGTCGGTGTCACATCCTCACCAAATGCGCTTGCCGATAATTAATCAATGCAGCAGAATGAAAAAGGCATTGTATCCGAATAGCCATTTGATCCCGCGATCGATAGCAAATAAATCGCACTCCGAAGGCTAGTGATATGTGCTCCACAGCTAGAGAGATAAAATGTATAAAGCTCTCGATATTGGTCAACCTCTGAAAGAAGCGCCATGTATTCGACTTCATCAAGTACCGTTGGAGGTGATTGAATGCATATCTGGCCTTTACAGTGACTCGCGGTGGCCTACCAATGTATCGAGCCAGTGCCGCTATCCTCCCAGACAAGTCTGGTGCCAATTTGCCGACCCTGGAGGGATGGAAGGCTTGGTGGGCCATGGGCGCGGGGATTGATTCCACGTGTATATTGCAGGGCGCCTCCGACCATTGCGCTACAAGCGCTCTTCCCTTCCCACACGAGGCTCATAACTCTGCATATTTTCAACGCAATTCTAGCATTTCTCCACTACAGTAGAAAACGTTCCGGCAAGCAGACAGTGTTGAGTAGTGTGCATAGCACTGTAATGAAATATTTACATTGTATGTTAGGCCTTCTTCATATAAGACTAAGACGTCAATAATATGACATCAGGCTGAATATAACCACCTATACACATAATTTCCTCCCATTTCCCACATTCAGCGTCACAAAAATTCCTCAATGCAAGCAAATATTCATAGTTTCTACTACTACTTACGCTTATTTCTTTTAGTAAATCAACTAGTATAGTGTTAACCTTGCAGAGGAATTGCCCACTTCTGCAGCAACATACCGCATATTTTCGAACACTTAATTTCTGATAAGACGAACGCAGCACACGATAAAATATTAGACCCTTTGTTTGTATAGGTTGGCAAATTTATTCATCTGTAACTATTTTGTAAAACGATTCGTACTAAGATCAGTTCAGTTCCAAGGTAAAATATGTAGCAACCGAGGTTGTGCATATTCCACGTCAAGTTGGGTAACTTTTCTCATTTTCTATCTTTAATCGCTCCTGTTATAGTGATAAAGCAACGCCTTACGTTCCTCGTCCATTATTCTCTCAGTACATTTAATTTGTTGTTTACAGCAGTTTTTTTTTACACTGCCTCCCTACTGTAAACCTTGCTTGGCCAGTGCAAATAAAAAACTGAAAACAACGAGCACGAAGAGACCTCTTCTACAATAATGGCCTTTGGTGGACATGCCAGTACTCGAAGGGGATTCCATGCAAAATTCTGAGCGAAATCATTGCTTTCAACATGAAGCATCTTGACAACTATAAATACCAAAGTCAATTTGTGGAAATTAGTACGTTAGCAATGTTCACCTCACTACTTCACCATGATGAATTGTATCCACAAAAACTCTTTTTTTATATAGAGTACCTAAGCTCTAGTCGTTTCACCTTATTTGCGCTACCATGTATTGATTGCCTGCAAGAATTTGATAGAAAACATAGATATGCATGGAATTTTTGAAATAACTACGACGTGGGAAACCTCCGAAGATCATCAAAAAACAGTGTCATCTTGCCTGGTTGAACACTAACAAACATTTCCTGAGAAATACAACGTCATACTCATCTTGGTGTCACACAGACCATTCACTAGCCTAATCTTGCAGTTGGGACCAAACTACTGAATCGGATCGTTGCACCCTAAACACTACTCATAAAAGACGAGGTCAGATGTCCTTCTGAGATTAAGAGATGAATATACAATGCCGACATAAAGGTGAATGTTATGTTGAAGAACACTTAGTAAACACTTTATATTAGTTGAAACCAGTGCATGCAAAGCTGCTTCATGATTCGCAACTGTTCAATGAAGAAGAAAAACAAGAACTTCAAGCGTCTGAACGCAGAAAGAAATGAAAAGAAATCACTAACCAATAAATGGCAGGTGTGAGCCAAAAAGAAAAGAACGACCCTAAACAAAAACCACCCCATTTCATTGGAAAGGAATAAAATTTAGTATCCTGGCTCCGGAACGCACATTTACGCAATAACTCTACAAGAATGGGATGGAAAACTTAGCCATGTACATTGTATCCCTATACGAATGCTTTACATTATGAACGGTGGTAGATAAAAACTGTATCAAGAAGAAAATGCAATGAATGATAAGTAATAGGATGATCAATAAGATGAAATTTCAAAGTAAATTTAACAACGTCGAAAGAACACTAGGTGTATGCTCTGTGTGAGCTTTATGAGATCGTAGACGAAGTTGAATATCACTGCTCTTTTAAACAAATTCTTTCCTACGTGTCGAGCGTAGAACACCGCAAACGTTAGCTTGTTTCGTTCTGACGATCACCGCAGAAGAAGTCGTGGATGTTGCGACACTTGCCCTTGCTAAAATATAACATAGCTCTTTCACCTATCTAATTCTGTAGTAATCTGTTCAGGTTTTTATTCTTACTGTATTTTCTTTACCAACTTTAACCTTAAAGCTGTTTTGTTCCCTAATGGTTCGAAAAGCCAACGTGGATAACAAATTTTATTTTTATGTGAGTACTCATGTTAAATTATAACGCCCCAATGATTTACTGTCCCCATTATGGATAGAGTTGTTCCTGCATATCGAAGTGTAATGTACAACAGGTGCAAAAGGAACACTAGGGCCACACAATCTGAGCAAGAGATCGACATTTCTGTTCGAACTCTTGCTATTCTGTTAAAAAAACCAGTGGTGTGGCGAGACAAGTCGTTTCGATCCAGAAGGACGAAACCAAACTATGATGAGGTCATGGAATCACCCTGGCATAGCTAGCTGGAAAGTTCGGAAAAAACTTTCCCAAACCAAACCAATAACATACTTGTTCGATGGATAATGCGCTAGCGCTCATTAGTTCATGACACAAAGAGAACTAGACAGATTCTCCGCTGCTCCATCCCACGTCTGCTAACGGGAATGAAATCTCATATTTGCGGAACAAAAACAAATCAGTGGTATACAACTGAGCTACTACTTAGGCAAGAGATAAACAAGAAAACTACTTGCAGTTCTAATCAAAGTGACTTTTTAGGACCTTCTCAGGTATTTTTGAATTAAATTATGTCATTATGAAAGCAAGTAGGCATCAATACTGCTTTTACACTGTAGTAACATAACATTAATTACTTTTCAAACTTGTAGACAGCTCAAGTGGAAATCAAACGCGTTTTCTCCTCTCTTTGCTTTTAGTTACTGTCATGAACTGCAGACTAATAAGAAGGATTAAGCTCTCGACGTTGA